GAGCGCGCTTCGTGGTGCGCATGGGCTTACTTTCGCCCTATTCGCAACTTGGCTTCGTCGTAGGGCGCGTCACTGACGCACAAAAAAAAGGTCGGCACTCGCGCACGCTAGCCAAAGATTTGAGTGACTGTCAGAAATAACGACAGGCTTAATCAGTGCATCGACAGTCAAATCTTAACACGTGTTCCCGATTGTCGTACAGCCCGGCCAGGTTATCAAGCTGAAACTGTGGCAGCGCCAGGGATGCAGTGCTTACGCAGCTGTCGCCTAGTTACTGTATTAGTTTCCGCTTCTATAATCTCGCGGTTTAGCTGTAACCAATGCCTCGCCACTATCGCGCACTGATTGAAAAGTATGCTGCAAGCCTCTCTAATCAGTCACGGCATTGGATGTCGAGCTGCCCCTGCACCACATTGCGCACGTCGTTGGAGCTCACGCAGGCGGTTGTTAAAGCCCCCGTCGGTCTAACTGACATAAGTATTTGCACACGTCGGTGGGATCGAGCAGACGAACCCTACTGCGCAGGGGACGTAGCTTCACCTGTGCGCAACAGAGCAAAGAGCAGGGTTGATGCGAGGTGTGTGTTTACTCGCTTCCAAGGTTTCTGCAGCTTGTCAGGTGCTAAGGAAACCACGTGAACGCTGGCGGGCTGGCCAATGCACATAAGGTAGAATGACTGGCTGGCTCTTTTCGAAACAACTGTATACGCTTTTCAGGCTTTTTTCCCCTCGTTGAACTTCGTTTATAGCAGCTTTTCTGCCACCGAAACGGGACGGTCTGCACAATATCCAGTTTTTGTCAGACGCTCCCCTACCGATTGATTGATATGTGAGGTTTAACGTCCCAAAACCAACATATGATTATTAGAGATGCCGTAGTGGAGAGCTCCGGGAATTTCGACCACCTGGAGTTCTTTAACGCTCACCCAAAATCTGAACGCACGGGCCTAGAACATCTCAGCCTCCATTAGAAGTACAGCCGCCACAGCCGGGATTCGAACCCGCGACCTGCGGGTCAGCAGCCGAGTACCTTAGCCACTAGACCACCGCGGCGGGGCGCTTCCCCTACCGAGTACAACAGGGTGCTTAATGTGGGGGCACGACTTCTTGAGGGCGTTGGCAAAGCGAAGGTTGACGATGCGCCTCTTAATCAATTTTGAGTGAACTATAGGCTGTAAGGCAAAAGTGGTTTACCACTTCTCGGCTCATACATCCACCAAACATGGGGGGTGGGGGGAATCTGTTGATATCTTAGACCGACCGTTACTAACCTCTCGACCGTTACTAACTCTTCGCAACCTGTTTACTGCCTACGTTAGTACACAATTACTAGCTGCAACCGTTACTAACTTTTTTGGTACCTGTTTACTACCTGCGTTCGTACGCAAGTTTTGGAATGAAACAGGTGGTAACTGCAGCCGTTCTGACTATCTGGCACCGCTACTACCTTCTTGCTACTCGCCTATTAACTATCTAGTCTAAAACAATAAGCAATATCTATTGTATTAATTTGTAAAAGTAATCGTCCTGTCGTATCATTTTTAAACGAAAAAAAAAAGATGACACATTAGATATAAACGGACAAAATAAACGTTTATTTTAAATTACGCGACCGAGTTATGTAAGCGACATTCGGCTACTATAAAAACGGAAAAGTACAAGAAAACGAGCCATAAGCAAGTGCTGCACGCGTTGCAATAGACCATTGCAACAAACATGAAAGGCGCATAAAATGTAACCATATGATCAAAATTATTCCGGAGTCCCTCATCACGGTGTGTATCAAAATAATATCGCGACTTTGCCACGTAAGACCCCAGAAGCTATTATGACCTTCTAACCACCGATATATTAGCGCAGTGAATCATTCAAATGCACTGAGACATTTTTAAGGAGTTTCGCACCTTGTTTCGGCCGATGTTGATAATGCTTTCATGTGGCTCTTTCACAGTAAACGGACATTACATATAATTCTTAGTATGGATGATTAAATGTCTTGTTCTACGTCCCCAAATACACATAACTAAGTATAGTGTTCTGAACTCACATTTTTCGCGATCCATCCTGAAACACAAGTGCTCCCTGCACCAGACGTGTATCTTCAAAATAGGGGCAATATATGCTCTTGGAGTCATTTACTTAGTACGGTAATGCATTGCACTTCTTACGACTACGCATTCTTCGCGTTCAGGACACACCACGCAAGATTACCCGAAGTTGTGCAGTAATGCGACGTTCTTTGAACAGCATTAACAATGGAGAGATAATGTGGCAAAATGGACAAGCTAGTACAGGCTACTACTACTTTTGACTCCTCTAAAGGTTACTAACCATGACTACTCATGGCTAGGGTAGTAGCAGTTACTAAATGCTGTTAGTAACGGCAAAAGTAGTAACCGTTACCCTCTCCGTTTCTAACTGCACTTACTACCAGTGTTGTAACATATGACAAACCATTACTACTAGAATATTAGCAAGTACTACTACCTTTTTTTTTTAATAGTACACAGTGTTTTAGATACGCTTGACTGTTCCCGCGGAGAAAAAAAAATAAAACCTTTAGAGACAGCATTACATCACGTGACGCAACCAATCTTCTCAAGCTAATGTTCCGTGAAGCCTTTCTCCATGATAAGTCTGGCATATTTTGCACGTCATCGGGTATAAAATTCTTCCATTCATCTATCCATCAGGTATATATATATCTTTGTGCAAGTATGTTTGCACGGGTATATCTCTGTGTATGTTAACTGCTCTGCCTTTCCCTGCAATTAGCATGCCTCCTGAAGCGGGATAACGTGTACCACTGATATTCATTTATCTGCCTAGAACCTAGTTAAGAAAGGGAAAGAAGACAACCCACCCGTTTGTAGCACGGAACTACAAGGAAATCCGTACGGATTTCTGAGAAAGAAAAGCTTCTTACTGTTGCCGAAAAATTCGTTCTAGTCCGGGGTTCGAACCGAGGAGCAACACTTTCACGGGGCAGTCGCTTTGCCGAGTGAGTTAACCAGGAAGCTAGCAATCGACAGCGCGAGGGCGAATTCATCGACAACTCGAAGCACGTGGACACAAGTATTGCAAATGAGTTCTGCGGGAACCCGCAAGATGGTGGAAGGGTAATGAAGGGAAAGAAGACAACCAACCCGTTTGCAGCACGAAGCCACAAGGAAATCCGTACAGATATATAAAAAAAAAAGCTTCATAGTTGCCGAAAAATTCGTCCTGGTCCGGAATTCGGACCCAGAATCAACGCCTTTTTCGGATAAGATAACCGCTCACGGTCAAGTGAGACGTCGGATATCTCAAAAAAAAAAAGCTTCATAGTTGCCGAAAAATTCGTCCTGGTCCGGAATTCGGACCCAGAATCAACGCCTTTTTCGGATAAGATAACCGCTCACGGTCAAGTGAGACGTGCTCTTTTCAGAGCGCTTTTGACGCCACACTGGTCAATTAAGTTCGAGCAAATGTGGAACGTAACCAGCCCACGTGCATGATAAAACCTTACAATGCAAAGCTGTATGACACATTGTTATTGCAATCAGTGCTCCGCCTTCGAGCCCCGCCGCGGTGGTCTAGTGGTTAAGGTACGCGGCTGCTGACCCGCAGGTCGCGGGATCAAATCCCGGCTGCATTTCCGTTGGAGGTGGAAATGTTGTAGGCCCGTGTGCTCAGATTTGTGTGCACGTTAAAGAACCCCAGGTGGTCAAAATTTCCAGAGCCCTCCACTACGGCGTCTCTCATAATCATATGGGGGTTTTGGGACGTTAAACCCCGCATATCAATGCTCCGCCTTTGAGGCGAAACAGACTTTCGCAGCGCCCATTGTATCCTATTTGATTAAGACTTATTCGAAAGAAAACGCTTAAGTGGGGCCACGAATCACGTTAGTACTTATATGTACGTTTCTTTTAGGCTTAGGATTATTTTTTAAAAATTGTTAAATTATATTTTTCGAAAAACTGCCTACGAGCATGGCAGTAAAGAACGATGTAACCACTCTGTCTGCTGCCCTCATTACAGTTACAGCGTGCATTTATTATAATCCACTCCGAAGTGAGCCGATTTGTAAGTGGTGTAGCTTTCTCAAACCGTGTAACAGTTTCACTTTCACACGTAAGCGGCAAAATTGGAGAGCTTAATTTGTCCGCTTTAGATGCTGTCACGTGTATACCTGACGCCCGCCACGGCACTCTATAGCACCTATAGTGCTCGACTGATGATTCGAAGGTCGTGAGTTCAAATCTTGGACATGGCGACCACATTTTCGGTGAAGGTGCTAGAAGCCCGTGTGCTTAGACTTAGGAGCACGATGAAGAACCCCAGGTGATCGAAATTTTCACTTCGGCATCTTTCAAAATTATATTACGGTTTTGGGCCGTAAAACCACCAAAATTATAATTTAATTGGTTGTCATGAGGGGTTTAACGTCCCAAAGCCATCCCCAAAATTATGATTTACTACGTGTACCTGTCAGAATTTCTGTGATTTGGACAGTGTATAAAGACGTAAAGGTCGAACTCCCAATTTATTTTCGAAAATGTCCCAGGGTCAAGCTCTCATTTAGCTAAAAACGATCTAATTGATTAAATTATAGGCCTCTAGCTTTTCTTCCGCAAGGCAACAAACGTCATACTGTCTCGTAAAATTGTGAGAAGCCGGAGCACTTCCGCACCCATATGCCTCCCGTCTAGGATTGCATATAGCAACGTCAAAACAAACTGACATCAGTAATGATCGACAGAACAGGACGTACGGTAAGATCTAAGCGACAATACTGTTGACCATTTGGGCAGGTCACACGAAGTGGGATCAAGGCGGGCAGCCTGGGCATGCAGTACGCCATGTTGCGCAGTAATAATAACCCGTGTAATCCATCAACTAAGCACAGCTGATCCAGGTAAACTCCCGGGACTCATGCGCAGTCGCGACAGCCAGTATTTGACCATTATGACACCTTCCATTGCTGCATCTCGCAGTGTATCAAGATTGTGTCGTTGTATTCAGTCGTTTCTTTATTCATATCAACTATTCTTATTTTCGTGTGCAGCGCCACCATTGGAAAGGAGCCGGCACACAGCAACACGAAATTAGTGTCCATCGGTGCTGCCAAGTCAACGACACAGACAAACCAAACTATTGGGATTTTGTAGACGTCATTCAAAAAAAGCAGGCTTTGTGCTATAGACTCCTAAAGGAACGCAAGATCTAACTAAGACGCTCAAAAAAAAAAGAGGACAAGGGCGAAAGGCTGCAAACGCACTGTTTTGAAAGTTATTTACAAAATATTGCTTGGACAAGATAAAATTTGCGGCTGCATAAGATAATCGCCCTGATCGAAAAAAGACGTATCACCGTTAACTGGAGCCCTGACTGCCCGCAGTATCTCGCATACCCGCTAGAGATACCAGTGTCTCCCAGGAAGGAAAATAGCTGAGGAGTGCCGCGGACCGAAGCCGGGATCCTCGAAGAGCTAGTGGAAACAACTTAATTGTCACTGCAACCGCGGCCACACCACCCGTATCTTTTTGTGCAATCCACGACACGCCATAATGATAGCGACGGCCACTATAAACGGGTCGTTCGGACCCCGGCGTCCGCACAGCCAGTCGCCTTTGAGGTATTCGAGACCCATCAGACGACGACGTGCAACCGTCTGCGCGCAGCGCATTCAGCAGGGCGAGACCGGGTACATCGTCCACGGCAGGAAGCCACACCGAAAGCGCAGGTCATCCGTCGACACAACCGCCATGGGGGCCGTCAAGTACAACTTGAACCAGTGGGTTGAGGACAACAAGGCCTACTTCCTGCCGCCAATTTGCAACAAGATGATGCACTGCGACGGTCAGCTCAAGGTCAGTGAGTGGCACTCGCGGAAACGAGTTGCCCCGAACGGGCGGGCCTCCCATTCCTCTTCGATGTCTGTTACCGCTCGCTTCACTTTTACGATCGAGGTCCTTTGCAGCAGCCATTCGGCAGGGTCAGCGTGTGCAGATGGAATCGCACTTGTCTACAGCGCCCAGCCGGTCGCTCCAGCTACCGTTTTCTGCAGAAATATATAGAGAACGACGCCGTAATGATAACCAAACATGGTCATACTGCGTGCTAAGTACTTGTGCCATAATTTAAGCATGAACGTAAGCTTGTAGCTAACGTGAGGTTGAAGCCGCGGCCGAGGACAATGTCTACAAGCACACGCCCCGCAGACAAGCGTGATTCTATCTGTACTCAGCGATCGTAAAGGTGCAGTCAAAAGGTTGCGGAAGAAGTCCAGAGCCGTACCAACGAAGCATGCGACTTTCAGGTTTTTAATGCGCATGCGTTGCCTGTAAGCAAGGTGAACACTCGGTATAATCGCGTCACCCTCGCTTTATGGGCCGGCAGTACACGCCCTACTATGACAAAGACGGGAGAATGGGCTATCACTTACGGATTTCCCATGGGCATCGTTGTATTCGTTCAGCGTGTATTCACGTAAATTGCCTTCGTGATGATCTTCAGTTATGTCACGCTAGACACGATTAGAACGCACTAGCCCGTGTACTCCTTGCTGTAAAATTCGTCTTGTAACACGTGCTGGAACCATATATTGCCGTACATTCAGCGTGAAATTAAGAGTACAGGGTAAGCAAAACTATTGAAAAAATATTTTTTGCATTATTTGAAATCTGTGGCCTTTTCCGATTCAGAATCGGTGTTTTTTTTTTTTTTTGTCTCGGTGGTTTTCCTTAGATGCGAATCAACTCTTTGACTAGCCTGTGTAAGCGCCGTTTCACGCACTACCCGCACAGCTGCAACGCACGTGTCGGGACCCCTGCCGCACGCCAGCGGGGGACTAATAAGCCAATTGGCGACGGTCTTCCACCCTCCGCTTGGCTGCGGCAGGTGTGCCGGCACGTGCGTTGCGGCTGTGTGGCAAGCGCGTGGAACGGCCCTAACGCTGTCCCTCCGTCCGCACCACTTTTCTCGCCGCAGGTGATCGAGCGGTGCCAAGTAACTCACGCCCTCCTAGCACTGCGCGGTGACGTATCTCTCCCTCGCCTGCCGCGCGCTAGTCACGTGTCTGCTCTCTCTCGCTTCACCCTTTCCACCACTCGCGATCGTCGAGCCCACGTTGGCATCATCTCACCAACGCCGACTAAATTTCAAGGCCGAAAGGCTGCCGCAGTAACGTCAGAGGTTGGGGGCCCAGTTGCCCAACTGAGCATGCTCAGTAAGACTTTTTTTTCCACATCTTTTATTCGGCCCAATCAAGCCGCAGCATCTGCGAGAGCGGAAGCGTTGGTTCTCCTAATACGTGAACGAAACACAGGCTTTCCGCCGCGTTCGCGGCGTAACTGGGCCCCGCCCTCTGACGTCATTGCGGCAGCCTTTCGGCCTTGAAATTTAGTCGGCGTTGATCTCACCCGCGCCACCTCTCTCCATCTGTCGGCGAGGAGAAACCGCGAGCCAGCGGGTGCGCGTGCAGCGCCGACAATGTGGACAGCACGTCGCTGCTTGTCGCGCGATCACGCCGACGGGCGGGACGCCATCGCGCCATGCTTCCCGCTAGTGTTCGTGTACCTTTCCCGGCTGTCGCCGGCGTGGCGAGGGTTAGCGAAGCCGATCGCGTTCGCAAATGGCGACATCAGCACCGACGAGGCGCGAGGAAAACCGAACGCAAGCGTCGGCAGTGGAAGACTTTACCCCGACGAGGTGCGAGTCAAGAACACCGATCGCGTTCGAAAATACAGACGGCGCGCGGTTAACACCGACGAGACGCGGGCCAAGGAAGCCGAGCGCAAGCATCTTCAACGCTTCCCGCCTCCCATGTCCCGCTTTTCAAACGTTTACCCGAATAAATGCTACACCAAATTTCGCTGCAAAGCATTCTTACAGCACCCGCGTGGACGCCCGTTTCAAACGGGTCAACGCAGTGCGCAACACTGCTGCTTCGCATCCTATCAGGGTTCCCTTCGGGAAGATGGCTCATGGATTTTCGTCTAAAACTGTCATATTTTAAACCTTGTGTGGTGGCCTGCCGTGCCCCCATTCTTATTACGTAGCAAAGGATTCCTTCCAGTTTAAGCCTCATAGTCATATTGAGAGGTTACAGTTTTCAAGCTAGGGTACATTTCGCACACTCAGAAAAAAAAATGGACCCATAACTACGAAAACGAAAGAAAGCAGAGGCATCAAGCTTTCAGTCCGTAAACATCTTTCTGGCTCGGGACGTCTTAATAGTGCCATCATAGGTAAGCACCCAAACTATTATCGTCTGGCCATCAAGATAAATAGAGCCAGCTTGCCAAAACATGCCAAAAGTGGTCCGGGCCACATATTTTCACATGGCATTAAATGATACCAATACAACCCACGGCCTTTGCCCGAAGCACACCAAAACTTGGTGTAATACCCGTGCCACACGGGCATATATAATGACATTCGGTGGCGAAGGCCTTCAGTTCCCGAATGACATTTTTTTCGGCGGCGCTGCTACACGTCCAAAGCGAATGACATTTGACTTGATGATGTCGATCGCAGCACCTTCCAAGTGAGCATTGGGTGAATAGCAATAAAAAATAAACAAGCGTTTACAAGGTTCATCCACATTAGATAATCATTAAATGTAGAAATAAGCATATTACGCTGCCCTGAGTTTTAGTTTCTTGCTTTGTTTTACGACGTTGCAGCCGACCGTAGCAACCGAAGCCAACAATAGTCAGATCCACAGCGTAAATGGAAAATGGCGCCTGTCGCATCGTACCTGTCGCATCTCTCAGAAGATGTTCGCAGAGTTCATATTTTCACGGCAGCACTCATGTGTTTCCGTGCAAAGCATCGTGCTCAAGAGCGAATAATTCTGGAGCAGAGACGAGTTATTATGCGCCAGCTTCAGGACATTAAACTTCAATTAATTTCAAACAATTTCAACCTGATCTTCGTATAACGTTCAAAGCACATTTTTAAGAGTTTAGTGCAAATAAAAGACGGGAATTTTTATTTTTAGCTGAATATGATTTCTTTTATTTACGTTAAGGTAAATCGCACTTCGCGAGTTGTGTCGTCGAGAGTAGGCATTTCTCAGTCAACCGAGTTCTGGCGAAGGCATTTGGTGGCGAATGGCATTCGGACGAATGCCATTTCGTTCGCCCGTGTGGCACCGCGCGAATGGCAATAAATCTGAAGGCATTCGGGGGTAAATGCCATTTTCTCTGCCCGTGTGGCACGGGTATAATTTCAACAGAGCCCAGTTGAATGGCGAACCATTCGTGCATAAAGAACACCTTCCAGCATCTGTTATTGAGGCTTTCAAGTCAAATTATCTGGAACTAGATCATGCAGAATTACTTGCTCAATGTCTTTATGGGAAAACTTAAAACCCTAACAAGTCGTTGAATTGTCATGTAGAAGCGCACTCTAAAGAAACATTTTCTTCAGACAATAAACACTGAAAATATTCACTCTTGATGCTGTGCTCACTTTTAATGATGGCCTTATAGCCCGTGTGAATGTGCTAACTCCATTGGAATTTCACCATGGCACTGCGCAGTGCAGAGCCTATGTGCCCTTGACCTGCGTCGACCGTACTTTGATGACAAGGCTGCACAGCAGGCACCAAAGGAGGCTCGCTAAGCAAGACATTTAAACAACACAAAAATGATATTGGTGATGGGTATCTGCCGTTGACTATTGAACTGGCCTGCGAATTTGCTATTATCTCGTTGCACTTTTGAATTAACGGCCATTTTTAACTTAAAATGCGATTATCTCAAGACATGCTTTTTTGTACTTATGTGCCTTCATTTAGGTATCTATGATCATAAATTTCGACCAGTATTTAGATAATGTAATAGGCAATATGCTGAAGCAGAATTACTGCTGTGTCAGTAAGTGCTCTTCTTCAACACATTTATTAGCTATTGCCAAATGATAATTAGGTACCGGAAGTAAAAAAATTTACAAAAAATAGTGATGCAATTTTCAGCGTGAAATCTGCTTCAGTAAACATATAAAGGCTCATGACAACAATGATAGTAAAATAATTACTGTAACTCTTATTATTATAGAGAAAAGGTACGTAAATTTCACCTAAAATACATGGTGAGTATAAGGCTTACCTTGCTCCCTTAACAGCCCAGGGAAACAAATGTCAGGGACAGTATCAGGGCCGTGGAAATCGGGTAATTTTCTCGCATAGTACGCGTCCTTATGAAAGTAATATGGCCCCAACAAGACAAACCTGAGACGGGCAAGCACTTTTTCGTTGCTTTAACTCCGTGTCTTTGTATGGCGTCGTCGCATTTGCATACGAACCAGTGATGGCAAAATAACTGCTGAAAAAAAATCTGCCAGTTTCGCATCGTAAAATATGTCGGACAGAGAAGCTGCAAACCTGCGAGTGCATGTGACTGGCCAGCGGGATCCCGTGCATCATCATCATCACAGTTTCATTTTATTCTTTACTCACTCCCCCTCTCTGACCACGTGACATGTGTGACAACTACTGATACGACGATGACATAGGGTAAAGACAGCTTCGCTATAAAAGTAATAAGATTAAATTACTCATTAACTGCCAGAATTTTTTCAAATGTAATTAGGTTGCATTAAAAATTACAGCTGCCAAAAGTAATGGTGTTGTTGCTTTGGACAGCAGTGCAATTACTTTAACAAAATTAATCACTCATGCAAACCTAATGTACACGTTATTTACAGCGCATGTATAGTGAAATATCGTAGATTTCTACTTCTCATGTTTTATGTTTGCCACTTACATGAACTCCTCTTTTGTTCTAAGGCGAATGACTTGTAGATCATCATCATCATCATCATCATCATCAGCCTGACTAAGTCCACTGCAGGACAGAGGCCTCTTCCATGTTCCGCCAGTTAACCCGGTCCTGTGCTTGCTGCTGCCAATTTATACCAGCAAACTTCTTAATCTTGTAGATACGCCTCATCAAATGCATTGATCGTTGGCATTCACACTATCGAGTGATGCAAAAAAATACCGTTGCAGGTCCCCAACCACAACGTCATCTTGATGTCACATAAACTGGCATTAGAAGTACACCAGATATTATTATTTCCTCCTCAATGATCCACTCTCTGTTTGCGCAGGTGTTCTGCGTGGGTGGACCCAACATGAGGCCCGACTACCACCTGGAAGAAGGCGAGGAGTTTATGTACATGCTCCGTGGAGACATGCTCCTCAAGGTGGTTGAACACGGCAAGGAGAAGGACGTGCTGATACGTGAGGGCGAGGTGTTCCTGCTGCCCGCTAGGATCCCGCACTCGCCGCAGCGCAGAGCCAACACAGTTGGGCTGGTCATCGAGCGGGAACGAACACAACAAGAAAAGGATTGCATGAGGTGCGGGTGACGATTTCGCTCTATCTATCAGTGGGTTGAATGTAACCTCATTGATACTATTCTCCATGCTACGTTTCGTAGACGTAGATCCTAAACTTTCGGTGCACAACTATCTTTGAGGATTGGCCAAGAATCGGGTAGCTTAGAAAAAAAATATTTGAAAATTAGAGAAGAGAATAGTTTCTGGCTTTCTATAACAGGCTTTTTGTAGCGTAAGCGACCCTGGCTGAGGTGTAGCAGTTTCACGTAGCTTATCTGAAAGCCGTGCTGCGCATGCCCAAGGGGCAGTGACGTCACATAGCGCACCACTAGCACACCGGAGAAGGTTTGGAAACTCCAGGAATGATATGCGACTAGTGAGCTGGCACTTTACTAGCGTGAGCTCACTCACTAGTATGTCCAAGAGTCCGTCAACAGCTCACGCCACCTATATTTTCGCACAGCGGAGTTAAGCCAGCGCGGTTTTTAGGGGCGAAGCTCCTCTTAGTCTAACCTCATCACTGGTCACGCGTAACCAAGAGAAGAAGAGACGAGAAAGAAGGCAAAAGAAATGGATGACCATTTCTCATCTCAATTCCTAGATGGGTTTACTCTGCCACTACTCTTCGATTGACTGCTGCGCACGCTTTGCCTTAGTGCGCGGAGAACGAGTGCCTCTCTGTCTCCTGGATAGCCGCCGTACATGGCGGACCGCTGGTGGGGCATGGACGAAGTAGAGTGGCGGGCGTGTTTATGATGCTTGCGCTCATTTTCCTTGTCTCGCACCTCGTCGGTTTTACCCACACTATGTCTGCATTCTCAAATGCGATCGAATGCATGGACACATGCACGGACGGACGGACACTTTGCTCCATTTATCATCATGCACTCCGTGGATGTGCTGCGATTTTTTTAGCTATGCTTGTGAAAATGAAAAAAAATGGTCAGTCAAAATAATTATTATCGAATAAGAATTAAATTATTAATACAGAAGAAAATTTGCTGGAGCCTACTTTGGTTAACTATGGAGCTTTAGAGTCGTAGTTGTGTAAGTGTATTTGACTGTGCTACGGAATCTTGCCATGGCTTCGCATACTTCCCTCATTGCTGTGCCCAAGGGTGAGTGCACCTAGCAATAATAAACTTAATGTACGTTTTTGGGGACATTACGTTTTTTCTTTCATTGGACATCGTATCATAGGGAAAGTCTTTATCGAGTCAACGCGACCATGTTTCCATCTTTATTGGGAAATACAGGAGCAGAAATGAGCTTCTACAGGCAATTCCAAAACGCACAGCTTTATGTTATAGCGCATTAAAGACTAAGCCAATTTTCACATACGGACGAACACTGTATTCCTAGCTTGCAGCTGTATGGAGAAACTACTACAGCCGTGCGAAGGAATTGCTACACGAAGGTTTGTTACTGAGCACACAAGCTATTTTCTTACTTTCAGCCTTGCTTTGAATAATACATTTTTTGGGTTGCGCGGTTTATTTCCCGGTTTCTTTGAAGCTCGTATAAACGCGATTTCAAAGCACTGGAGATTCTGATCACCCTGTCAGGCGATGATGTGACTGTCCAAAAGGTCTCACATTAATTAAATATATGCACAAAAGGGTTAGAACAGGTTAAGCTAAGGGTTTTATATGATAAAATGGACCTTAAGGTATGTGATAAAAAAAAACTGGAGTTGCATAGTTAGTAGACATTATTATAAACAGCAATAACACTTCAAAAACCCATTGAATCGAGATCCTTGCGGAATCTGACAGATCAGATCAGTTGCCATATGCTGGCTACTTCACCATTCCTTAGCACCACATTAGGTGGGCGAATGGTGAAGGGCGGCAGTGTACCAAGTATGCTCGAACTTTGAAACAAATGCACAGAAATATCCCAGTGTCTGTTCAGATAAAGAGTGCTAGAGGATATTCAAGGAAAATTTTATCCTCACACCACGACATAACTAAATATCTGTTATAACGAAGGATATGAACAATACTCCTGCAATAAATATAGTGTTAAAAATATACTTTTATAACAACTTTTTCGTTATAAAGAACTTATTTTCATGCAAGATAAAACTTCGTTATAGTGAGGTTCGAGTGTATTTCAATAAATTTACATTGCCCAGCAAAATCGCTCAACGTATTGGAACCGGACACAGTTCTTCAGCGCACTATCTGTTTCAGCATAAGAAATGGTAAACTGTGACAAGGCTGACAAATGTTGCTTACGCAATAAGAGCATGTCTTACTTTGATCGAGATATTCTAAAAAAGTGATTTTCGGTGATGTCCTGATTTTCTAAGCTTTGTTATTCTTAGTGCTAATTTAATTTTATTCATTTATTCATAATACTGTAAGCTCATATGAGCCATTACAAGGTGGGATTTGCACACACAATGCAATGAAATCTGTCAATGTGGAATACAATACTCCACAGCATGAGAAAGGAACACAAGCAATAACAATTATACTTTGCAAAAAATACCACTTTCAATTTACTTAAAAAAAACCAGGCTATCAATGCCACTGAAAACTTCAGGACTAAGGCTATTCCAATAAGCTATTTTACAAAAAAAGAAATAAATATTTATACAATTTTTTTAATGTTAAGACAATTTTGTTAAGACAAAATAAACGTTTCTGCAAGCCCAGTTTAGAAGAAAAAAAGCTGTGACATTTAAACAAGAAGCTGAAAAGTGGCATTGTCAGGTAATTTTTTTCCTGTATCTTTTTGCTTTTTGTTTCTTTTGAATTTTTTTATAGTCGGCTACATAGTGAACTCTATGAGAATGTACTTAGTTTATTATGACTGCATGTCAAACAAAAGAAAAAACGTCTCATTTCAATGGTCCTACACTAGAACTATTTAGTCTCATCAGTTATCAATGCTCTGCAAGACGTGTTGCATCATTTTGCTCCGACTACAAAAGAGCACAGTAAGGTTAAAGAAATTTAAGTTGGAGTAAGATTGCAGATCCTTTCTAAAGTGTTGCTGAGGGTATAAAGACCGATTTCGCGGCACTAGCAGTGTATTTTACCGTGAAAGCGTTTACAATTACAACATCACAATAATAGCCATATTTGGTGCCGTAGTCTGTCGCCGCTGGTGTCGTTAACCGCTATCATGCGAAATGAGAAAAATAGACTGGATCAGATGAGATTGGGACCGCCGAGCCATAACAGTGCTTGAAACTCCGTCGTGGAAAGACCTTGTACAGGTGTCCTATTGGGCAAGGAATCGCATTAAAATATGGGGGAACAAGGTCAAGAAATGTTTTGATTTATGGTGAAGTAGATACCCTGCAAGTGTATTAGTCGTCCCAGGAGATTTTATAAGAGGATCTGGCAAAGTCGCTTTTCCAGCTTTCACCACGACTGTGCTCCGTATTCTTCGCACTGTGTTGTAGTGCACTGTACTCCTTTCAGAGTACCATGTGTCCTAAGCATGAAGCTATGGCTCTTGTTTGTGCCATGAACTAATTAACAAAACCAATTGCTAAACAGGCAACGCAGATGCCTTACACAATAAGTACAAAGGCATTATAAGTGCTCTAAAGTGCAGAGGATCGTGTCGCAGGTTGAAAGTCGTGCCATGGTGGCCACATTTTAGTGGAAACGGATGCAATCACACAACAGTACATAAACGAAACTCGTACTGGTAATGTAGTACCACACACGGCATTCTATTGCAGCCTTTCTACATAGCCCCACAGTTGCATTAAGTTCAAACAACAAATCGATCAACCACGAATATAAACGAAATCGGATCTTTCTTGTAATATCATGACATATTATAGATAACTTTATTATTATATGAGGCATGACATGAATAAATAGCTTTAAAATCTCGCAGTAGGCTTGAGAGGCCCTAAAAAGTCTTGCGTCTCATCTACAGTCTTGTGGCATGGCAAGTTTTGCAATAGCTGCAACATCGATGCGTGCTCAAGCAAGTAGCTTTAAACAGAAATAATGGTAGGTAGAGCAGATAGAAACTTCACTCGTTGCCCAAGCAAAGCCAAAAGACTTGCACTACTGGCTAAATCAGTTGATAAAAGAAATGTCAAAATTATTTGAAGGTTTCTCTAGAATATTTTTTTACCTGTGCTTCAACTGTATTACCAAGATCCTTGACAAATAATCTGTATGGCATTTTAAGCCTACGCTGAAACAGCTCCTTGGGCCAGTAAGGTCATTTATAAAGTGTGCTGCATATTATGTATTCATCGAAGTATCGTGTCCTAGCAAATGCTAATTGCCACATGAGTTCGCAATGCTTCTCTTACTCTACTAATCTTTTAATTTTATGATTATATTCACTCTTAAAAGGGTTCTGCTACACTTAGTGAGCATGGTCAGAAAACGCTGCCGACCGCTGGTCGAGGCTCCCGGTAAAACACTAGCCAAATATACTATAGAGCACATGCAGCCTAGAATTTACGAAAAACTCTCAGTCAACTAAAAGTCACTTTCTCTCCTCTCAACAAATAATAAGAAATCACTGCATCAAGGGCTTAGTATCAGCCATAGAATGATTTCAGCATGGTGCACTCAGTTGTTACTGGGGCTGCCGCGAGAGGCCGCAACTTGGCCACGTCATCGCACTGAAAAGCCGCATGTTCGAAGAAAAAAAACAAGACAAAGAGTTCTCAAGGTCACGAGGTGCACGTGAAGTATTTTCTTCCCTCGTGCCATCTCTCCTTGCTTAGGTTCCAGTAGTTTTGTTGGGACGAGAGAAAGGAGAATGAAATTGCAGCACGCAACAAACCTTTGTAACTTCGCTTGTACTGAACGGCTTCTAAAAATTTTTGTAGCAGTCAATTTGTAAGGGGATAAGCTCCTTCAATGAATCCATTTTATTGCTACTTAGAAAAGTGTTCCAGGGCCCCTTTAAGAAAGCACTAACAAATAAGTAAATACTGATGTCTTAATTAGGTACACTACTACTGTACTTTAGTAGAGTATTCCACCTGCGCCTTGCTCTGATCGCAATTTCACATGTCCAGGTTTTATATTGACGACACCTGCCAAGAAATTTTGTACGAACGCTGGCTACAGTGTGACGATCTGACACAAAAGCTGGCCAACCTGCTCAACGAGTTCATGGCCTCGGAAGAGAACCGCACCAGAAAGCCTGGGCCAAAGTCGTTTTTGGTGAAGCCAGCCTACGAGCCAGACAGCAGCCTGAAGCTGGAGGCACCTTTCAGCCTCGAAAAGTGGCTTGACAAACACAGGGTCGAGCTGGACCAAGAGGGCGGCAAGCGGTCAGTACGCATCATGCACTAAATCTGGCCCAAAACAGTGCAAAGTGTAGTTAGTGCTTATAGCAACAGCATTGTTCATACAGTTTCGAGACAATGCAGTTGGTGAAATCAGATGCTATTTGCAAGCAATGCTGTACGGTAAGATGAGTCCAGTAATCCTTGGTGACAGGGGTTGAAATCCAGCTCAGTTCTTCACCAGACATTTACACAACTTATTCATAAGTTCAGACTCTTGAACTGGCGTAGCCAGGGAGGAGGGGTTTCAACTACCCTCTCAATTAAGTTCTGCATGTGTATTAATACATGCCCCAACACAAACACATGCATGCACATATTTAAAGTTCGGGTGAACATTCCCCTACCCTCCCTTTTAAAAAAAAATCCTTGGTAAATATAAAATTAGTTCTAACCACAGTTATACAACATGCACGCTTGCTTTCACAATAGAACTATGACAAAGTCGCGAAAGTTCGAGGGAGGGTGAGCCCACTTGTCTAACTGATGCCTCTTAAGTATGCTTATGCATTTTCCTTTGCAATTGCTTTTTGGTCTATTCTAAACGTGAATGGTTTCAAGCTTGTTCGCAAAAGCTTCATTTATGCGAAAAGGCTTCATAGATGAGATGATAATATTGTGGGGTCAGCATATGTCGGTGCACCCTCAATAGAATTAACACACGAGATTAACTATCTGCACCTTTAAGTATATGTGACACATAAGGCAGGGCGCATGCACTTTTTTCAATCCCACCTCCTCTTCCTGACATGTGTAGAAGGGTTTTTATTAGTGCTCGCACAAATAAATGCATTTGTTGGTAGTTTAGCGTTTTTGTTTTTGTTTCTTTTTGCATCAATGCTTAAGGATGCTGTGCACTTACAATTTAGCCCTGAATTTGGTAGCCAGAGGGCAGAATACACAATGATATATGTTGCGCCTGCTTCTCTAAAACTCAAACTTGTGTGCAGAGATCTGTTCGGCAAGGGCCACCAGACGACCATGGTGGTGCTCGGCAATGGCACCCACAAAACGCAGTGCCCAGGCACTGAGACCTTTCTCTGGCAAGTCAAGGGATCGGCCAGTGTCAGCGTTGCTGGCAGAGCATTCACCCTGGCCGAGAATGACACTCTGCTTGTGCCCACGCCCGGCAACTATACACTTGTGAACCAGCCTGGCGGACGCACAATTGCTACCAGCATGCCACCAAAGAGCACCTTATAACACGCAACGATCATTCCATAACTGTCATTACCCTGCAACGGTCACTAGCCATGCCATCTACCCAGCGTGCTGAAGTTGTGTGGCTGCAGTCATTCCACAAATTGACGATGCGAATGAGGTGAATGACACTGCGTCATGCCTATACTGCATTTCAGATGCTGCTATACTAGGACATCCAATCTTGTTAGCAAACCCCTCATCAATATTCAATGACTGATTCACATCCATATCTCTTATCATCTTTGCATCTTAGTTTTATAACATGACGACTACAAAGCTTTAGGCAGATGTATTACTTTAACCTGCAGGCATTGTCACGAAATTGCGTTATGTGAATATAATGTACCGTGGAAATGTACGTTATGTGAAGCATGTCAAATCGGAATGGCTATCACATAGTATTCAGAGTTCTGCATGCAAAGCTTTATATCATGGGTGAACATGCTTCACAGGAAACTAAGTGTCCCTGTAAAAATGTAATCTAGAGTAGCACCAGAGTAGACAGTACAAACTACTTTTTGTGAAACCATGCTAGGCTTTCTTTTTATGTAGAAATCTCTCTTTTTCAATGACTTTGACAAAGCAAATACAGAAGATCTAAAGGCTGTGAAAGAAAGTATATCAGCCCATTGATGATTAACCATGGCAACAATATATTTCCTTTTCTAAAGTTAGTTTAGAACGAATTTCCAAGCACCACATCTTTTCAACAGCATTTTTTTCATCAGGTACATTATTTGTATGTGATGGTCTGATTTATTAGAGAAAAGACATCAATGTTTTTGAAGTGCACTTAAGAGGCATTTCGAAAGTAGATGGCACGCTTTCAATCTTAGCCTATTTACAGGTTCTTCATATCAAAGTAACACATTTTAACTACTACTGCTTGTAGGATGCTGTAGGAACGTTTTTAAATGCAGTTACCAGCTGTACACAAGTTTTATCCATACATGATATTGCATACTTGTTGCAATAACGATTGTATAGGACTATTTCTGTTCAAATATGTGTTTTGCATAGTGATGTTTCAACGTAACGATGTGTCCGAGGTATCTTAGTTGACAAATAAATGTTTTGCATACCTGAAAAGCTCAAGGATTCTGAATCCGGGACATTTCCAAAACGGGGGGAAGGGGCGGGGGGGTGCCTTGAATGATTTGGCCCTACTTTTTTTTGGCACCAAAAAACAAAGACAAGGACAAACATACAAACAACATACAAACAAAAACATCACGAAAAACAAGAGGGGTTGGGGGGTCCCGATCACAAGCGCCAACATCAGCGTTGCTGTCTTATAGTGCCTTGGAGTGGCCAAACACACGAGGGTAGGGTTTCCCACTAAGGTAAGAGTCTCAAAGAATCAAAACAACTAGCAGAATCTATTTCCGTCAAAACAACTCGCGTATGTCTTCCAGGGACACACGTGAAGGGACGGGACGACACAGCTGGCTGCCGCACAAGTGCTGGTCAAAGCTTTGCTCACTGCTAGATTCTTTTGACAGAAACGCCAAAACGCGTCTGGCTTTTTTTTTACGTGTATTTACTGCCTTCAATCTAGCCTTGCATTAGCCGCGTGCCTTCGAAGCTCACAGAATGCTATTGCGTCGCCGCTACCGTGGTTTTGTGTGCGGCGGTTGCAGCAAACACGTTTGACAAGCAGCAGATCAGTCCGGTGTGCTTGAGAACATGCAACAGCGCTTTCGTAGCCTTTTCAAATTGTGATGGGCGTACAATGATCCCAATATTTTCTCTGACAGTGAAAATGCTTTTGTCCAGGTGATTTAAGTTCACTTTTCAATTCCCATGAGCTTGGCTGTGCACGCACCTTCAAAATTAAGTCGTTTTATGCCATCTACAATGGCACCTGCTGCGGCTTTGTCTGCAGAGTTTGTGAAAAGCAATGTTGATTTGACTGGTTGAGCATTGGACGTGCCCACTTTCGGGGTTCTGTCAGTTACGTCGTCGCCATACATGATCGTGTCAAGAACGACCGCGGTTTCATCCACAGGGGTTGTGGCAATGGCAATCAGATGCACTGTAGACGACAGTACGTGCACCGGTCGCATGCGTACTTCTGAAGCTTCGAGTATGCTGCTTTCGGCCTTCGTTCGACAGTTTCTGTACTAAAGTTTGCATCACCTGCCACAATTAGAAAATGCGTTTGGAACATTAGAATTTAGGCCCAATGTATTTTAGGCACTATACCGATAAACATAGTGGAATTTGGCTGGGAAATTTCACGAATTTGTATGTGCCGGGGTTTCGCATCACTGAGATTCTACTGTATGTTTAGATGAACGCCTCTTAAGTTCATTTATAATAAAATGTGGTGGGTTCGCAATGCCTGAAGCGGATTGAGCTGCTTTTTTGTCAATGGGGCCAGATCACACAAAAATTTCGATTTCCAGGAGATTTTCATGACAACCGTACAAACAGAAGAAACGGTCGAGATCCGGGAGTCTCCCAGCCAATCCGGGAGACTTGGCAGGTATGGTTTGTGCAACAGCTTGTTTTTTATGAGACATTTTGAGTGAAATCTGAAGAAAGATCCTCAAGTTTCATCGTGCTGTCTCAGATCATTAGATTCATACAAAAGGGCATTTGAACTAAAGAGCTCTTTGTTCGTTCAAAAGCAAAAATGAATAACCACATGCAAGGCCAGCATTTGTGTCTGTATACACAGAATTGTAATGATGATGTCAGGACATGTATTTACAATGAGGCCTTGTATCACTTTGGAACAACCCAACTGCATTAGTCAAAATGTCTGCCTTGACTAAATGTAGTTGGTACACCTGCAGCTAACAAAATAAAATGAGCAAGCAAATGCCAGCCACTGTCACTATATGGACATGCTAATCTTGTGAAAGTGGTAGTACAATGGAATTCCAGCAACTTTTTACCGCATATAAAGCTCATAAACGCTGCTCTAATGCAAACAAGACGACGAGCAACAATAAGAGACAGCAGCCAATAATCGAACTATTTGCGAGAAATGTCACAGGCAGGCTTCACAAGATGTGCATTGCGGTGAAGCGTTGGTGGTGAGGTGAGCATAGCACATGCAGTTTCAATGCTGTTATTCCTTCCTAGTGTTCGAGCAGGGAAGTGGCCACACCCACCAACACCCTGCGCTCCTCCTGCCACTGTCGTCCCTAGAATGCGCTGTCGGCACGGGGTTCTCAAAGTGGGTTGCCACAAGGCTAGTATCATGGTTGTCCAAGTACTGAAAAGTTATTTGACTATATACCTCTTAATTTTTATCACATTACACAGCTTCTTAATTTAAGAAAATTGTCCATTGCACTTGCAGATACGACTTGCAGATACTGCAAGCCGCATCTGCACTTCCGTGGTCTCAGCTGTGGCAGTGGTACAGTGCTTATGGTGCTTGGCTACTGACCCGATGGCCACAGGGTCGACACTAGCAGTGGCGGTCACAACTTCAATAGAGCCCTGAATGCTCGAGGCATGTGTTCTTGCTTTTAAGTGCATAGAAAAGAACACCAAGTAATCAAAATTTCCAGAGCACTCCAGAACTACATCCCTCATAATCATATCATAGTTATAGCATGAAAAACCCCAGCAATTATTATTGTTACTTTCACAGTCTGTGTCCAGTAGAGTCAGCAGAGTGCAGGTTTGTGCAGTAGAGTCCTAGATTTGTCATGGAGCAATTAGTGGACACACAGTTATCACATTGAGCACACTCCCAATCGTCGCACGCAATCAGTTTGAAGGCCAAGAGTGATTTTTCTGGACTTTTGGGGGATTGGTGGCAATACTAGTGGCTGTTAATGTGGCCATTATAATGGGCAGGTGTCGACATGCCTCAGTTTCTATGCCTCCTGGTTTCCTACTGCATCACAGTAAAAGCTTGTTCATTGAAGTTTTATAGGACCGGAAAAATGTTTTAAATATTTGAATGCCATATAATTAAAGGAGAATAATTAACAGTTGAAGAAAACAACAGACCATTACAGCAATGTATTTTCAGTATCACGATGAACATGCATATCATACTTATTTCATATAGGAGCAGTATGAAAGCTGCAATTTTAATCAATCGTGACTACGTTCATAATGTGACTGCAGCTCAGGACAACCATGTCTTCAGCTGAAACATGCTCTAAATTCATCCCTTACTACAAACTACCCCTTCCAACATCACCACACACATATGACAACAGCTTTTTTTCCTTTTCCCCTGAAAAAAAGTGACTGACAACTGGTCGTTCATCTGTCGCAATATAGCAAGCAAGTTTTGTGTTAACATGTGGACTGCGGCGGAAGCTCTTTAGCTTGAACAGTTTCCAGTGAGTTAGAGCTTCATGACATCACGTGCGAATGTCAAAACAAAGCTACTGAGAGCCGATTGCACAGTGGATGAAACCGTGTTCGCTAAAGACATGGTCATAACGTTCATGCTGTTCTGAAGGCACCCAGGTTTCTTACGCCCAGAGCCAAAACAAAACTGCTGAGCACTTCATCTGCTGCTAAATACACCTGGCTCTTGCCTAGCTTGATAAAGCACCATCATGAATGTGCTTCAGAACAGTGTGGACACTATAATCATGAATGGCAACTGTGCAATGCTGAAGGCATGCGACAGAAACGAAACTACTGCTTGTCTCAGCTTTGACCCCAATCGTTATTGAAGCGTTCATAGGTAGCACCCATGCAGTTCGAGTGCAGCGAGTGAAATAAAAAGACCAAACAAATTTGCTGCAGCCACTGAAAGTTTGGTTGCAGACGAGATTCCGGTAGGGCTGTCAACAGCGACCTCGCATTTCTAAAGGCCCACGGATATTTCGGCTATTCCCAAACGCTGTTCTTGCTTCCTTAATTTGCACACTTGCAGCACTTCACGCTTAGTGTGCTCCAAAGACTGTCCAAACTAACCGATCTGCAGTCCAATATGTCCAAATTAAATAGGTTTTGATGCCATTAACACGTGCTTGCTGCGACCAGAAAATACGTCTGAATTATCCCATTTCCTGAACTAATGGCGACCGAATTGACAAAATTTTATGGTTAGACATGTCAGTTTCATAATGAAGGTGCGTGATGATAAATTTGATGAACATAGAGCATACTTGCCAGTAATTAAGTTGCAGTTTTTAATTATTTTTTTACTGTAATGACTAATCAAATGAATTACTTTTATGTATTGCTTTTTCTCACTGCATAAAGACTTATCACTAAAGTAAAGAAAATAACACGGGCAAATCAACATGCATACCTGCCAGAGATCGGGAGACTTGCGGGGGCAACACCTGTGATCGGCAAACAGAACTTTGTCCTAAATGATTGCTTCAAAGGGGCCCTGAATACCTTTTGTACATATGTAATGAGAATTCACTGCACATCAGTATTCGAGGCTCTTGTGAATATGCAAGACAAGCATAGCACTGCATGACGCACGGAATTTACACAGTAATTTCCCGAAAAACCACAAATGGCTCGCTCTTCTCTCAGCAGACTCACACGAACACGGCCAATGGCTGAATTCATGATCATAAATGCATTCTCGGTAAAGCTTATATTGGTAGTTTCGAGCACACTAAAGAGCAGATACAAATTTATCACACTTTGGAAGCTCTAGTAATCTCTGCTAGTACTTATTATCTCGATTATTCGTCGTCCATTTTGTTACTTCACATGTTCATATGAGGCAACACATGGTTTAGAAAAGCTTGTGCTATTTCAAACCCTACAGACCTAAGTGGGTCTTTTCTTTGCATTGAAAAAACTACCATAGTTGTTAAGAATTCACATCGTCAGTTCTAAGTCCACCAGAACACTGGCCAGTGCATGCTTGCTTTTTTAAGTGCCTCTCAAGCAATACAGGCCTCAGTAGATATTGCTTGATGCTTGGCTAGATGAAACTGCTTCAGAATGTATTATCTGGATTCTGCTACTATCCGTCAACCAATCTGATGAAGTACAACACTGGTGAGCACCAGACCAGGCACCTGCAGAACAACCGTAATGCGGTAGTGCCGAAAATTGCTCGAGTGCTGCATCAGCTGCGCAAGCACCATGGTGTGCCACCGCGGTGGTTTCACGATTTCTAGCAGTCATATCAGTATACTCTTCATTGTTTCAAAATCGGGTTGAGCCAGCTTATCGGGAGATTTATGGCTGCAATTGTTCTTTTGGGAAGGCAGGTCAGAAACTGGGAGTCTCCCAAGCTAATCAAAAGCGTTCGCAGGTATGAATATTATTCGAAACCTCAACCGTGTGAATGGGCCGGCTACCAGAAAAGTTGTGTAACATATGCATTTCAAGTCCTGATAAACATTCATGGCCCCTCACACTTTAGAGAAGAGGGATGATGATGGCTGAATGTTTTGCTGTCTTATGAACAGCTCAGCAACAGGATGTAGAGATTTTCAAAGGTTTAACCGAGTCCCCCAAGAGGGGAAGCTTTTCTTTAGACAAAACTGCCATAGGTTCTCTGGTCCCATGTCCCCTCATTGCCCATTCACACTTGAGTCAAGCAAGGCCAAGCAAGCTTTGAGACAGGTTAGTGCAAGGGTGCAGGGAACTCGATTCAGCTAGCAGGTACTCAGTCATAAAATTTTGTCTCCCCAAGGGTCGGGACAATGAGAAATGAAAAGGAGGAGAGAGGGGGAGGTGTATTAAACAGACTGTAGCTAGCGTATCCACTTTCCTATATTTCATTTCTGGAACATATTTCAGAAGGAACTTAGACATCATGTTCGAACCTTTTCCCCCTATATCGTACAGTCACATGTCAATGTCTCCTTCGAAGCGAGGAAAAAAACGCTGTCTTTTTTCCGTTTTCTTTTTTTACTTCCCCAGCACAAGTGAGCACAGCGGCTCAATAAAGGCAAGTACCGCCGAAGATATTTATAAAAACAAAAGGTTCCAGCTCTTTCTTCGGGTACTGGCTGCACTCGTGACTTTACCCCCAGATCTCGGAATAATCAAGTCATTAGAGGAGTATGAAAGATAATTTATCCCTAGACTCATCTCTACTTCTATCACAGCTATTATCCAAAACCTCATGCCACTGTAGACATGATGCACCAACACCTTACTGCATGAAACCGATGGTTTGACGAAGCATTGTCTGGTATAGACTATTGTCTGGATGGGAAGAAGCATCAAATATTCAAATGAAATGAAAGAGTGCCATGAAAATAGAAATGTTCAAAGTATTAAAAATTGACGTTTCGGCTACGGTAACTGAAACATCGATTTTTAGTGTTTAAACTTTTCTATTTTCGTCGGTGCTCTTTCATTTTGTTTGCCTTCAACACCTTACTTCGCAAGAACAAATACATCCAAGTTCTTTTTTTCCTTGTGTTAGAACCGAATGTACCTGTACAACTGAATTGACGTCACGATCTTGTATAAATTCTGTTTTATTTTGTCAAATGTATCCAATATATTTAACACTTGTCATATTCCCTGCTTGGGCTACATGTATCAGATTAATAATAAATTAAATAAACTAAAATGTGTGTGTGTGCTTGAGTGAAGGTGGGGTAGTGCGTAATCCACACACACTTTCTGACAGCGCCATTTTCTAAAACACTTTCAATCCACTTGCTAGAGATTGTCAATGCAGATAATGCACAGGAAGATACTTTCATGAATAAGTTCATTTCTACAATTCACCAGCAGCTCGAAATACTTATATATACATTTTCTATGTACACAACAGCAAGGAACAAGTTGCTTCAATGGCGCAAAATTGAGATCCGAACCAAGTCCATTGAATGAAGCGAGGCCGTCCCAGTTAATCTTTCTCGTGTCCGTCAAATCTTGAAGCCGGAATGAATGGCAGCTACTCCATTCATCAGGTTTTCATAGGTGACTTCTTTGAAACCCGCCGCTTGGATCATTTCCTTGAACAGGTCCTGCGTAAGTCAATAAGAGAACGAATGAATACTCTAGATTTTCGCCATTAGCAAAGAAAGTACTAGCTTCACTTCCTTTTTTAACATGAGAGTGTTTTATGCCGGCGCCTACCAAGACTTCAGTGATGTACTTAAGTCACGCAAAAAACATAGACGAAATACGCACGTTCAAAACACAAAGAAAAAATTTTGCATCAATGAAAGTCAAACCGACGACGTCTGGGTCCATGACGACAGATGCCAGGCATGCTATTACATGCTTGGTGTCACACCACGGTCGCATGTTTTGTAGGCCTTACACTGGGTCACCAACTGAATTGCACTTTTCAGCGAAAAATAGAAGGGTCTATTGTGCCTGTAGATATACAAAAAAAATGGGCTGTAAAAGTATATATTTCACTGTAAAGGAAGCCCTAGAAGTAGCCGATTATAAATCCTACCTAATGCAGGCGACCGCCATTTTCCCATGGCGTGTGTGACGTCATGTGCTTCGTGGTGTGTAGCAGTCATCTTCAACGCCACTTTCTGTAACTGAAAATCGCCCAATTTGCCACGCTGAGCAGAGACAGCTGTCATAGCTCCGTCACACATGCGACTCACCACGAACCACAATCGTCACTGGAATTCAAGAACTTGCAAAGCAAGCGACTTGTTCCGTCACGGCTCGCGAGCGTGCCAGTGTTGTCCGATTGTTGCCCCCTGTCGCGTGTTTATAAAGATATTCATTATTAATGCAGTGATCGATCAAATGCGATTAAATTTAGACAGCTTGTTTGTGAACACCCAAGGAGGAACTCACGCAACGCATATGAGCGAAAATTGGGTTTCATAGTTTCTTTGAATGTGCTAAGCTGAACAGGCAGCATTGCGCAGCTGACTGCTTTCTCAAGTTCACAGAATATTTTTTTTTTATTTTTTTCCTCATTTAATTTTCATTTGGCTTCGAAACATGTGTTATACCCAAGAATATGGCTCATCTGCAAGTTTTGTTACAGAAACAGTGGTCCAATATTTTTGATGTGAACATTAGTTAAATTTAGTGAAAATAGCTACGACAGGTATACACTATGTTACGGAGGACTTTCAGTGCCGCCATGCTGGGCTGTTCACCTTTTGTGTCTTGCATCTCTAGCAAGTAAAAAAACAGTGTTACAGTAGACGCACATGGATGAAAACAATTAATTTGGTGCATAATGTTTTGTGGCCTTATTAATTTACCTCGCAAGATCTAAAAGCAGGAAAACATTGGCTTAACTGCCCATGGTGGTGGCGCCCATATGTCATAAATAAAATAGTCTATACTACTACATAAACAAGGCCATCTTCTGAGTATAGCGTTGCATGACATGCCTGCACAGCCCTTCGTTTTGTTTTGTCCCTCGGCTCTCAATTTGCCACCTTTCTTCCCATTACTGATCATAATGAGAATGGGCCCAACAGAAAAAATTCATAGCAATGTTGAAAGAGCACCATTTTTGAGCAGGGTCAAGTAGAAACGCTAGAAGACAACAAAAATTGAATACTGACCGAAATCAAATGAGAAGTTTCACACAATCTCTTCGGCAACAAAACCTTTTAAATGATTTCACACATGTACAGTCACGTCCAAGGTGAGCTGCAAAATGTTGTGCGTGCTCAAAGTGGCACCAACATAGCAAAAGTTAGTGAAGTGGCCACCGTTTCAGTTACTGGTATATTTTCTGAACCGATTTGACGGATGTTAAGGTAACTGCTCAAGCTTGGAGCCCTTTCAGCCATGGCCACCGTACTGGAAATCCTATTGAGTGAACAACTGTACACCAAATATATCCTACTTTCACCAATATTCTTGTTTACTGTGGTGCAGTAGACATGAAATATTCACTAGTGACTGGAAGTAATGTAAAGAAGAGGAAGTACTCTGGCGCAGAGGCAGCAGCATGTAGCGTGCAGCAGAGGCTCGAGCTCGAGAACTGCGGCTGGTGCATCGCCTTACTAGCAACAACCTTTCTGCTCAATAAATCTATTTTATATTTTGTGGAGCTGTGCTGGGCACCGTCCCCTATACCTTCCTGCTACCATACTGCAACTCCGTTCTCGATAGCTACCTTCTGCTATGCCAAACGACAATCAGCAAACGCTTCCATCCCCTCCGGCCACCTGTCCAGGCAGTGTTCCTCAGCTGAAGCCTCCGATCTTCAGCGGAACAGATGACAACGACGTTGAAGATTGGCTCTGGACTTTCGAACGGGTGTGCGCTTTGAACAGATGGACGGACGCGGACAAGTTGACACGCGTGTTGTTCTACCTCGTGGGTGTAGCCAGCCTTTGGCTTAAAAACCATGAGAGAGACGTCTAAACGTGGCCTCAAATCAAAACGTCGATTGTAGCAGTCTTCGATCTACCTGCCGTCCAAAAACTTCATGCTGAGCAGCGTTTACGCACACGCGTACAAGGGGGTGAAACCTTCTCGAGTTACATAGAAGACGTCGTCGATTAGTGCAGACGCGTGAACGCCGCAATGACGGAAGCTGAGAAATGTAAGCACATCCTAAAGGGAATTGATGACGACACTTTTCAAATGCTCTTGGCGAGAAGCCCGACCACAGTTAACGACATAATTAGCTTGTGCCAAAGCTATGATGAATTGCGGAAGCAGCGAGCTCTGACAAGACGTCCTCCAGCGCACGATTTAGCATCACTGTCTAGTGTGACCAATGGTCATGACCAAGCGTCGCTAATAGCCTAAATAAAAGCATTTGTCCACGAAGAAGTCACCCGACAGCTTTACTTGGTGCCCTTCACACATCTCCGTGGCATCATTCAAGGAGAGGTCGCCGAGGCCCTACCAGCTGCCCGCGAGCATAATCTTGTAGCTGCTCCACACACCTACGCCGCGGCAGCAGCCATGCCAACTCGCAAGGCGCCTGCACCTCCGTTCCAGCCTCGCGCGAGCTATCCCCCACCTCCAGTTCACTGGACCAGCTCTAACACCACCAACCCGTGGCGCACCCTCGACAATCGCCTGATATGTTATATATGTCGATACCTCGGACACGTCGCAAGATATTGCCGCCGCCGGATGCATATCACCGATGAAAACTGCCGTGAGCCCTTCTTCCCGCTTGACTCCAAGGTGCATTATGGCTCCTCCACCCCAATGCCAGCCTGCTACCAGGACGACCACCGTCCTCAGCCGGGACGTCTACGCTCGCCCTCTCCACGGTGCCGCTCGCCTTCTCCTATGCATCGACAGCCCGCGCCTAATGAGGAGGAAAACTAGACGATGCAGTTCCTGAGGCAAGAACTGCGCAAGTTTTGGTTTGCCCAAGTTCTCATTCGTCACCTACCGATGTTATTGATGTGTTCGTCAAAAATATCCCAACTGTCCCTCTTGTAGATATTGGTGCATCTGCTTCTGTTAACGATGCTGGATTTTGCCACTCAATTTGTAAGGTTACGACACCTTTCTCTGGATTATCGCTTCGCACTGCCAGTGCTCAACCTGTTTAACCGACCGCAGTAAGTACAGCCCGTGTAACAATTAGGGGCGTTCTGTATACGATAGAGTTCATCGTTCTTTCATCGTGCTCCCACACCATTATCTTAGGATGGGACTTTTTGTCGCGTCATAATGCCGGAATCGACTGTGCTCAGGCCGAGATTGAATTTTGCTTACTGGATCTCCGAGCGTCCGTCAACACCCACTCCGCCGCTAAACTTGTCAATGACGGCACCTACATCCCTCCATCCTCTTTTGCATTCGTACCAGTTTCATCATGCAGCGCCATATCCGACGGCACGGTCTTCTTCACACCATCTCCAATATTCATTGCCCGAAGAGCCCTCCCACTGCCTTTTGCTGCTCTCAACCTTGTAGAAAGCTCAAACACAATGCCAATTCATGATCATGAGTCATCACCTTTATCCCTACTTTGTCACGAGTGCCTTGGCCATGTCGAGACGATCAGTTCTACCAGAATTATATCCGTCCCCTATGAGGTGCCTTCCACCTTGGTCTGCGAACTAGCTGTCGTCTCCGTGGCTGACCCAAGGTCGGCAAACTTACTTCAACCATTCATCACTGAAAATTTGACATCTTCGCAGCGTTCACAGCACCTCACCATCCTTGAGTGCTACCGCCATTCTTTCGACGTTGCACAGGCGGACCGCCCCAAAACTGCTTTTGTCATGCCAGACAGCTTATATTAATTCACCTTCATGCCCTTCAGACATTTGCAACGCGCCTGCAACGTTCGAATGAATGGTGAACAACATTCTGCGTGGACCAAAATGGAAGATCTGCTTGTGTTACCTTGATGATATCGTAGTCCTCGTCCCTAGCTTCAACACACACTTACGTCACCTTCAGCACGTCCTTACTTGCTTGACCAACGCCGGTTTGCAATTAAACCTTGAAAAATGTCGATTTTCATGCGTCAACTGAACATTTTGGGCCACGTTGTTTCCAAGGAAGGCATCCTCCCGGATACCGAGAAATTGCACGCTGTGACGGTGTTTTCTAAACCTGCCACCATCAAAGAACTTCGGAGTTTTGTTGGCTTGTGTTCGTATTTCCGGTGATTCGTCCGGAACTTTGTGTCTATTATATCATCTCTCACGCAACTCCTCGGCAACTGTTAAGACCTCTCATCGTGGTCCCCTGCCTGCGACGAGGCTTTCACCACCTTGCGACGGCTTCTTACGGCGTCACTCATTCTACGCCATTTCAATCCTGAAGCTCCAACTGCAATCCATACCGACGCTAGTGGTGTAGGCCTGGGTGCTGTGCTCGCACAGCATAAACCAGAGCATACGAAATACGTCGTGGCATATGCTAGTCCCACACTTACCAAGGCAGAGAGCGACTACAGCATCACAGAAAAGGAGTGTTTGGCCATTGTGTGGGCCCTTAGAAAGTTTCGGCCATATCTATATGGCTGTTCTTTTGACGTCAAGACCGACCATCATGTGCTGTGCTGACTTCTGATGTTAAAGGACCCATCTGGCCGCCTTGCTTGCTGGGCATTGAAAATCTAAGATTATGGCATACGCGTGGTTTATCGGTAAGGACGGAAGCATGCTGACGTCGATGCCCTTTTCCCTCTTTCTCAAAATGCCACAGCTGACTCAGCTTGTGATCCCACATTGTTATCTCTTGACTTTGACACCACTGCTATCGAACAACGCAATGACCCGTGGACTGCGCCTCTTCTCAATCATCTCTCCGACACTTCTGAACTCCCAAAGACATGAGCGCTCCGGTGCCAAGTTCCACACTTCTCAATACGTGACACGCTTCTCTATCGACGCAACTACGCACCAGAGGGACGCAAGTGGCTGCTCGTCGTTCTATGAACCCTGAGGTCGCAGATCTGTTCCTCTTTCCATGCAGACCCACAATATGGTCACGCAAGAATGTTCAAGACCTACGAAAGGCTTCGACATCGTTACTACTGGCGTGGTATGTATACCTTCGTCCGCAACTTCGTCCGCTCTTGTGCCAAATGTCAGCACTGAAAATCTTAACCGCACGCCTCCGCCGGTGAACTGCAGCCTTTACCATGCCCTTCCCGACCCGTTCCAACCCTTTGAAAGGGTCGAAATAGATTTTATGGGCCCCTTCCATTGACTCCGACTGGCAACAGGTGGATAATAGTTGCTATCGACCACCTAACGCGCTATGCTGAGACCACTGCTCTTCAAACGGCTACAGCATAGGAGGTAGCCACTTTTCTACTGCATCATTTTGTGCTGCGCCATAGAGGCCCTCAAGAACTCCTCAGCGACCATTGCCGCGCCTTCTTGTCCGAGGTCATTGAAAAATTGCTCGCTGAGTGCGCTATTGTACATCGCACATGTACTGCTTACCGCCCAAAAATTAATGGGGCTACCAAGCGCTTTAATCGTACTCTCGGTGATATGCTCTCCATGTACGTGACGCCTGATCACTCTAACTGGGACTTAGTTCTGCCATTGATTACATACGCCTATAATACGGCAACGCAAGCAACAACAAGTTCCTCCCCTTTTTACCTCCTCTACGGTCGTCACACCTCCCACACCATTGACACCATTCTGCCCTATCGACCGGACGCGTCCGAGTGCCTGCCGATCTTGGACGCCGCCAGACACACAGAAGAATGTCGCCAGTTAGCTCGTCACTTTACCTTTGATGACCAAAACCGGCAAAAAGCAATTCATGACGCCCAGACCTCAACTCCCGTTTTTCTTCTGGGTGCCCTTGTGTGGCTGTCAGTGCTGCATCGCACACCTGGGTTCTCTTCCACACTCCTGCTAAAGTACGATGGGCCATATCGTATTCTCAAACAGACTTCTCCAGTAAATGACTTGCGATGTCGCAACCGCGAGGTTGTACACGTCCAGAGACTCAAGCAGTACCATGGTTCTACGCCGCCTGCACAGGACTAAGTCGCCAGGATGGCTCCTTTTTTTCCGCGGGGCCATTGTAAAGAAGAGGAAGTACTCCGGCGCAGAGGCAGCAGCAACGAGCGTGCAGCAGAGGCCCGAGCTCGTGAACTAAGGCTGGTGCATTGCCTTACTAGCAACAACCTTTCCGCTCAATAAATCTCCTTTATAGTATATTGATACTCGTTCCTTTTTAAAGGGGCCCTGCAACGCTTTTTGAGCATGGTCTGAAAACGCTGTCAATCAATAGTAGAGGCTCCCGACAACACGCGAGCCAAATGTTATAGCGCAGCATACGACCTGTAATTCACAGTAAATGATCAAAGTCAGCTAAAAATTGCTTTCTTTTCCACCGACAAACGACACAGGACGCTCAAAAATCACAAATAGATTGCCCTAAGCCATTGACTGATTTGAACATGGCGCGCTCGATTGTTACAGAGATTGCTGCAAAAGGCCGTCACTTCTCTATGCGCGCGATTGCTCCGAAAAAGCTGCGTGTTCGAAGAAAAAAATGAAAAAAGTGCCCAAGGTCACGAGACACGCGTGACCTTTTTGTTTGCCCCTCCCATTTCTCTCTGCTGAGCTTCCAGCGCTTTCGTTGGGACAAGAGAAGAAAGAATGTGATTGTAGCGTGTGTTAAATCTTTGTAAACTCGCTTGAACTGAACGGATTCTTAAAAGTTGTGCGGCGTTGAGTTTGTGAAGCAATACGCTTTTCCAGTGAATTAATTTCATGGTTACTCAAAAAAGTGTTTCAGGGCCCCTTTAAATGTGATCATGTTTAAAAGACAAACTGTTGCACGTGTCAAAGCACAGCACAAGCTAAGCTTGAATGTATGAGAACATCTGCGCATGTTCTAATTACACAGATTCATGTTACATAACAGGCCAGCGGTTAACAGCTCTATGCGCTATGCAGCCTGCACAGCTCAATTTCATCCAATTTCTTTTGCTAGAACACTGACTTCTCCTATTCACTTTCTAATAAACACCAGTGTTCTACTTTCTCGTAAAGGGACACTAAACTGAACCAATAAATCAGTTTAAACTGATAAATTGTAGTCTGAGAATGTCAACGTCACTAATTTTACCATCCCAATTTCATTATAAAAGGAGGAAATGAGAGTCCAATTTTAATTTTTATGTTTCAAGCCAGTGTCACGGGTTTCAAAGCGCATTTCTCCCATTTCGATGGCACCGGCTCGACTAAATTTCCAGCAATTTGGTATGCTGTGTCTAGGGCCCCCTCAGAAAACAATGTACTTAGTTGTTACTGAATAAGATCCATATAAGTATGGCCTACTAGATTTCATCGAAATCTACCTTGTCATGACATTCAGTGAAAATTTCTAGGCGGCGTTGCCACCCACATTTCCTTTTGGCGCCTTTTCTCAATTACTGAGTGCGTTCTCACGGTAGGCACGGTGCATTTGGAACTGAGGAAAAGCAATTTAGTGACATGAGAATAATTGCCTTTAGTCTGGAGTCCCTCTAACACTGCTTAGTGTCACTTGGCTTTCCATCGCTTGTACAGCCTGGCTTACCATCAAGCTTCTCTGCAATAGACTCCTTTCATATCTATGTCAGCTGACAGTGATCTCTTCATCAGATTTGATTTTGTAAAAAGGTCATGTTCAGGGTACGTGAATGTGAAATGTGCTCGTGTAGCATGTTCATGCGTGGTGCCAGCTGGCCAAGTCTCGCTGCCTCAGAAACTCTTTCGCCTAAATGCTACTGCATCGCTTTGCAAAGGCAGTGCAATTGACTACAACGTAGTAATTAGTGACCCTACGACCACAGTGATGAAAGGTCTAGCACGGCTGTTGAATTCCAAGCTGAATCATCTGGCGCATGCCTTGGGGACAAGGAAAAATGTTCGTTGGAGCAACGAGCGGCTGATGAGAGTTTCTGGTAGTTGCATTGCCTATAAAGAAAAGAATGAGGCCAACCAGAGAGGATGCGATAGTCTAGAAGTCTCGAGCGGGCCAGTGATGAGCGCTCTCCTGTACTCTGAAACGAGACTTTCTCGAGTGAATGCATTTGGCACAAACAAATATGTATAGTTCAATGTTTTTACCACTTAGTATGTAGTTTCTTTTGTATGCTGAGTAACAGATGAAAATCTTTTGTGCCTAAGAAGTAAGTCTCCAAACTCTGCAATCAATACGTTAATACGGCTTTTAATAAGTTGTTCTACATCACTTAGTGTTTGTTGTTTTTGGTTTATACTATTTCATATGCAGCCAGTCATACAGCCTGATATGCAGGTTCGTGCTCGGCTTGCTCAAGCACAGACACTGACTTCTGTTTTATCACCATTCCCTGACAATGCCAGCTACATCAGCAGACTGTGAGTGTCAGTCTACATACTTAATGCCCCTAACCCACTCTGCCAACAATGCACTACTTGCCATCTTTCTGTAGCGCTAGCATGTTCGAAGCTATGTCGCCAGCGTTGCGTAGGGAAGCCACAGCTAAGTGCTTACAGTGATCCCTAACGCATCATTCATCGTGCGGACAAGCTTTTCACATACCAAAACCAACAGTATGCCTATGCAGCCTAGTGCTTCCATGACAATAATGACATTGGCAATATGCCCAGGCGGGGCACGTGCGTTTTCTTCACATAGGTAATTTTCAGATGTCTGTGGCTTACTTCTCCGATATCATCACGGTAGCCTCCTAGAAGACACCATGAAACAAAGTGCCTGTCAACCATCTTTACCAAAGCTTTTCTGCCACAATGCACAGAGTGCAAGATGGCTGCCATGCTAGCGAAACATCATGCACCAGCAGTCACACAAGATGTCATCCGCTGTGGTGACTTAAAAGTGGTGGCTTGTAATAATTTGCATGTGGAATGCTTGGGCACCCTTTTCTGAAAAGGGTCTATGCACCAAAGTTCACTGCCATAATTTAGTATATGGAGAATTCACAGGCTGGGAATATCTTGAAATGAAATCATTGACTACATTATCAGACATTGGCCTTAACAGATGCTGTATGTGGCAGATAGACTCGTGGTCTCACACGCATGATAAAAAGAAACACGATTCAAGCCAGAATTCAACTCAGCCATTTTGCATGGCAGAATAGTGTATTACCACAGAGTCACACCAATGACTGAAACGCCTTCAGTAGAAGACTTTACACAGGCCATGTCGGGTGAGCAGTTACGCTAAAATCCAAAACATAGTCAACACCCCGCTACAGCAAAACTGGAGGGGTGCAGAAAAATTTTCGATGTAAAAAGGATCAATGTAATGTAAAACACATGCAGTATATACTCATTGTGGCTCATTTGTTTTACAAGAGTGCAGTCAGACTTTCACCTTTCGATGATACAACATTGTACCACATGCTGAATTATTTACTTGAGGGATAGCCGTAAGCTGCATATATCGTAGGAATGCTCGCAAAATTTGCTCCAAATAATTTATTAATCATATTTTCTCAACAAAATCCAGAAAAAGAACAGTAGCAATGCAGTAACATTCTTCAATTTATCCTTATATATTGCAGTGGGCAATTGAATTAAAAACAACAGAAGAAGAGCACTTTCTGTGCAATGCCTCACCTGGCATGGAAACTTGCGAATACTCTCAACTAGGTATTGATACGACTTCCAGTCTCGAGCCAACAGGAGGCCCATCACAGGTATCACTTGGAAGGAGTAATTGTCGTAGATGCTTCAAGGAAAGGGATAAAAAAGATAAGATGGTGAGCATAATGTGCAGTTGTAATCCCGCACATTTGTTCCTTTGAAACAGCAGGAAATATGAAAATATGAAAACACTAGTCCCTTTATTGGACATAGTTCTTAGGAGATTAAAAACATCTCTTTCATACATAGCGACCCTTAGGCCAATATTGTAGCTGCAGCTGCAAGAAAGCACTGTACGTGAAGAACACGACAGAATGCTTAGAAGGCTAGACACGAGAATCTCGATGTTGCTGATAATTTTACCTGTGTGGTCAAAGACTGAGTAGTCTCATTCAGTGTTGTAACACCTGCATGACACTGAGCGGTATGTATTTTATGGATGCCTCTCAAAGACATTTAGATTAACATGCCTTAAAGCTTTATTTATCGAATAATAAAAATGTGCAAGAAACAAGACTACAATGGCACATCAATTATTGAGAAAAAAAAACAACATGAGATTGAACTTACCTACGCAGAAGTGGGTTTTTTACATGGCTGAACTCCAAGCAAAGAAATCTTCCTCCAGGCTTCAGCACTCGATACGCTTCACTAAGCACCTACAAAAGACGAAAAAAGGCAAGATTACTGTACAGCACATGGAGTACAAACACAGATGTGCAAAAGAAAAAGTACAGTAAAATAACAAAACAGCCCAAATGTATTCCTCATTGAAGACCAGAGATGTTAATACATAAAACACAAAGCATCTGCAAAGGTACAAATGCTCGCATTAATTATGATTAGTTACAGAGTAAGCAGAAACTATACGACGGTCATTGTTAAAGTCAAGCTGGGGCTTTCTTGTAGACATGCTAAGGCACTCTGCAGGGGATGTGTACCAGTTAGCTGTAATGATTTATGTTAACAAGGCACTGGCCCCCGGAGTGGCCTACATTATAAGCCAGACTAACCTCTCATGAGGATTTGATGATTTTTTTGTGTGCTGTTATCAAGATTGAAGTAACAGCTTTTTATCACACTACTCATCAGAACAGCAAGACTAACTTGGCTAGACCGCCATCCGTATAGAGTGGTTGAAAGAGTCAAAGAAAACCTTGCTTTAAAAGTAAAATAACATGGGATTTAACGTTGAGAATCAGTTCAAATAAGCACACTGTTGACTGTGGATTAATTTTATCTGCTCAGAGCTTTTTAACAGATTTATAATGTGCACACGAGCCGAAAACATTCTCCTGGGTAGAGGAACACTCAAAGACAGAAAAATTGCTCACTTTCACTTGTCGTCACAGACAGCAAGGATATAGAGGGTGTCATTTTTCACAAAGATTACGCAAAGTGCACATTCTCCCATGGTGCTTGCGCCCTTTCTTGATTTTACGACCCTACTTGCCCCCTGACAATGACATCTGACATTCCCATCCCTTAAAATCCATTCCATTGCTTTAACTGACCATCAGTCATGCAGGACAGACAGTATAGACAACTTCAATACAGTCAACCTCTAATAAAACAAAAAACAAATTCTTATTCTAAACATGAAAAGCCTAAAAACATAAGAACAAATGAAGAGTAGAGTTTTAAGATAAAGAAAAAGTAACAGATGCTGGAGAACACATTTGCCTATTATCTAGAACACACAAAGATGGTAGCTCTATGAAATAAATACAGTGAAGAACAACATTAAGAAATAAAAGAACGGGTGAACTTTCAGAAGATATAAAGGACAAAAATGCTAGCCTCAACACAAAAATTTTCACTGTCAGCACTTAGGTTTTTCTTATGGCAACATCTGGATGCGACTCAGAGACTTTGCGAAAATGCAAAAAAAAAAAAGGCTCCGTAGACGTTTTTCTATACATATTTCAAAGCCCACTACTAAGCACACCCAATGCATTTCTGAACACTTAGAGGACCCCTGCACCACTTTTCTAATGTGATCGCTCATGCGCGAACACGTGGGGGTTTTCCGCGGCAGCCGCAGCAGCTCTGCAGCTCCCGATGCTCAAATGAACATGAATTTGGGTATACGACGTGGTCATTTCGATATATATGGCATCATTTGTACAAAGACAATGGAATGATTTCAAGCTGTCTTTAAAAATTAATTGTAAATTCTGGGCCATGTGCCGTGCTATAATGTTTGGCTTGCGTGTTCTTAGCAGCCTTGACTACCGATTGGTCATTTTCCGACCATGTTCAGAAAGTGTTGCAGGACAGAACTGAGAATCCATCCAAAATGCATTGGCTTTCTGTAAAGTCCCTGTAAAGACAAAGCTTTACAGAACGCATTCACTTGTAAATAACGCTATGCTGCCTCTAAGTGTAAAAAAAAAGAAAGCTGAAATGTGTGCACCTTTTGCATTAAACCTGTTCAAACAACCTGCTGTATTTGTTTGTTGCAAACTGAGTCGAGATACCAAGACCTTCTGCAACCTGTGAGGTTTCTCATAAACAACTAACAACCTGAGCTGTCTGCCAGGCTACAGTACTTAGTCAGCAGCCTGGGACCAAGAAGCAGACGATCTGCTAACACATACACACAGGTGCCTAGCCTGAAACGCAGAACTCACTGAACTCAGAATCCCGGAGTCTAGGTAATGTTTAGTAGAACCTGTACACAACAGACACTATTCTGGGTTGTTCTTGTTTCCAAAAAACTACGAATGCATTGCGTCTGTTATTGTTGACCTCAAATGCACCTCTACAATCGAAAGAAATGAATCTTTCTGTCTCAAGGGCAAAGTAGTCTGACATTTACTGACAAAAAAAGCAGGTGTGCACGTGAGCACTTGGCACATACATTACTTCAGAAACAGGGTATCATACCCTGTTTCTGGCTATCTCAGCTCGAAAATTTTCGAGCTGAGATAGCCTGCGGGGTCGATTCTCGTGAACATTCTTATATCATCTGCAAGATATCAACAGCGAACATAGCGTGAAAGGTACTTTAAATTCATTTTGAAGTTTGCGTGAGCAACCGACTCCATAGCGCTATGGACACCATCGGAGGGGACGCCGAGGCGACCCCCTACATCTCTCACGTCACCACGCTACGGTCAACAAAACAAGTTATGATGACATCATAGCCGCCATTTTTCTTTTGCCGTGTTAGTTCCTGCAGTCTATATTTCTCAGCGGCTGGTTGCGTGTGCATGGCCGTGGCGCACGCTTAGAAAGTTACGTGTTCGGCGACATTCCAGTCCCGTTTCTCATTTGAAAGTAATTCTTTATGCGGACCATGCAAAAGTGCGTCACAGTTTTGTGTGCTGATGTGGTCAAGAGCTGCACACGCTAGGTGGCAACTGTTGCACCCAGTTTTTGAAACTCTCTCAAACCGAAACTGATTGATAATGAGGGGCCTGTAATTATTTATCTGTCACGTGCTGCAGTAAACGATGTGTCGTGTGATGACTAACAGGCCCCCAGCAACGCATCACAGCCAAAAAATGCAAGGCCAAGGTTTTTTTTGTCAGTACCCCTTTAACGAGAAGCTGCAGTGGCAAAGAGCGACTCTAAAACAACACTAGTGTATATATATTACAGTCTTACATATATATTACAGTCTTACAAGTAAAACGGGCACTTATGTAACAACTGTTTCATCATACATAGTACGCAACTTACATGAGTCATTGCTTTACTATTGCTGAGCTGCTGACACAGTATGGGATTGCAAGATGCATTTGGGCCGTACTACAGCATTAGCACTTGAGGCCAGTTTATAAACTTCTTTAAAGGGCGACTAAACAGGCCCCAAGTTATATTTTCCACCTCCCAAACAGGCTCCTAATTTGTAGTTAAAGCTGCATGTCATGTACTACTTCTTTACATCAACAGTGCTTGACACACCTCGCACTGCACTTCCTGGCCACACCACTTTGATGCAGACTATACATGAAGGAAGCCTAGCTCTGTCACTGGTAGATGCATAACTGCTGACCCGGTTTTGCAGTGCTGAAGAAGGTACTATAGTAGTCACGACAATTCCTGCCCCTTTGCTAGGACCGTATCCAGAAATTTTTTGGGGTGTGAAGGGCACACTTGTTTAAAAGTCTTGAAAAGCACCTATTTTTATATTTGTCTTTGGTAAAACACCGCCCTCCATCCAAATTTCGAAAGGAAGGGGGCCCTCACCCCCACCCCCCTCGTCTATGGGCTTGCGCTTTGCGATGCGAAAGGTGGCAAGGCTGAGCAAGAAACTTAACTCCGCCAAAATGGTTGCTTTGCCTCTGTAACTTCATTATTACATCACTTATTTGCACATTTTTTGCAGCAACATGTTCACATAGTATAACGGTGAGGTTAACACTTCAGCACAAATTTTGGACAGCTGAGTTGAGACTGGGGTTGAGACCATGCTAGTGGCAACTTTTTTAAAATTTTTTTTCCTGTCTTTTCATTCTAGTGCGTCAACCCAGCGATGGCACTATGCTAGTCGCGCAGCTTGCATTTGACGGGTCAAAGCCTCCGCTATCCGGCCGGTTAACGGTCGAACACTTGTGAACATGTAAAAGTAACTTTAATTAACAGGAATTAGGGTCAAATTTCATCAAGCATTCACCAGCACTCAGGAAGTACCCGTAAAAAAGCGGTGCTGTCGCTCCGGCTGGTAGGGTGAGTCTGACCGCCGCCTGGCATTTCTTCTTCTATCGACGGCCGGTGTTTTCACTCTCTCCAGAAGCCGACAGAAAAGATGAGAAATGACGCTCTGAAGGTCATTTGCGGCGCCCGTTTAAAGTGGCTATACCAAAGGAAAAAGGGTTTTCATAACATGAACAGAGCCCCAATTTGGGGCTTAAGCGTCCCTCCACTTCCGTTGGAGGCACTTCAAAAGCAAACACGGCTCATGGCCGCTCTCTTCGAGAGGGGACGGAACAGGCACAACTGCATCACAAGTGCCTGTGTGTAATTTCCATCCCAATAAATACATCTCAATTTGTCCCTAAATTGCCCTGAGAAGCTATAAAGATGCACCTATTGTGGCAATTTACGTAGCCTGATGTGTACTGCCTGTTTCAAATAAAAGAGAACAAAAGAGGTGCAGCTTGAGTAGCAGTGGCCAAGAGTGCTGGCTCACTGAACTTTTTGGCTGCCATCTTTTGATGTAACGAGACATCTGGATTTGGGTCTCTTTTTGTGTTTTGCTATACTCCCCAAAAAACTCCTTACACTGAACAAGGAAAACAGCATCTATGTGGTCAGAATATGTGACAGCCGACATGAATCCTCCCTCTGCTTTTTCAAAAACATTTAACTACAGTGACAGTGTATCCATCAAGTATGGACACTCAGGCACGCCAAGAATGCCGATAATAACAATTGTTGGAGTTCTACATCCCAAAACCATGATGTGATTGTGAAGAACGCCGCAGTGGAAGGTTCCAGAAATTTCGACCGTCTGGCGGTCTTTAACAAGCACCAAATCTAAGTGCATGGGCCTCACGCATTTAGTCTCTTATCGAAATCCAGCCATCACTGTCGAGATTTGATATTGCACACGTTGGATCAGCAGTTTAGCACCATGTCCACTAGACCACCCAGGCAGGTGCTCAAGTGTGCCGAGACACTTCCTTACGAAGTACTGTCGAGGTCACCCATCCTATGGGGTGGGCGGGAGGAGACCAAAAGAGGATGCACTGAACAAGTTTCAATAACAACATCGTCTTTATAGCTCTAACATCCCCACCCCTTCCTTACACAAGAGTAAGGACGTTCGCTTCTCCATAGCACTCGCCCCCCATGGTTTGACCCATAGAGTTTCCTAAACTTAACAAGAGTGGGCTCCGGCACTGCGATCCTTCAATGACCATGGGAAGGATGGGTAGTGCACAGATTTGCTTAATTTTCGTGCTTGAGGGCGGCAAATCGCACTGGTGGCTTTGTTTGCTGCTGTATTTCAGTATTGTTTCGAAGAAAAAATGAACCCTTTTTTTTACTTCGTTACCCGATTATGAATGGTAAGCCTAAAAGAATAAGATGGTGAAGCACAACCGCTGAACACTTGCCGATTGTCGTTTCATGAGAAAACAGCTCCAAGCCACACGAGCACACATGGAGCCAGAAGTACGAAGATTAGACAAATCCATGTACTACCCATCATTCCCCAGCTCGCTGAGACACCGTGCATTGCAGCTACCATAGACACTAGTGCCAGAGTTCTCTCTAGTATATATTTAGAAAACTATATGGTTTGGGGATTTCTCACGTGACACAATGACCAAATTCAGAAAATTTCCCTGCACTTAATGTGGCATCTTGCATGTTGTAAACAATGACAGTATGAACGAGTTGTATGAACAACAAAAACTGATCTTTCTCTCTCTCTTATATCGTACATTCTTATGATGCATATAGCAGCAACATGTACGAAGTGTTGTAAATGCAGACCTCTTCTATCTTTTTTAACAAATGCACCCTGGTCAGCGTGATTTAGCTCTTTTGACCCCTCAGAATTCATGTATAAATTTAACTCAAGCCAACATCATCTCACAACAGCCCAGCAAACTAAACCACACGCTTACCTTGTCTATATGGGTGACGTTGCGAATACCAAATGCGATAGTATAGGCATCAAACTGGCTATCACCAAATGGCAGCTCTTCAGCATCTCCTTGAGTCCACGATATATCTACAGAAAAAAAAAGTACATGGCTAATGGTCATTCAGTCACATTTAGTACAAGAGTGCATTCCTATTTGGCTACACCGAGCTGACCAATACACAACAAAGCAGGCCAAAGTAGTATCGATGCACTCTAGAAGCTGGGAACAAAAAGAAACCATCCGACTGTTCTAGCTGGGCATTGCACACTGCATGGTCTGATCACATATCACGAGAAAAGCACTGCAAAGAACCACACTGATTTCACATTTTCAAAAAGCATATCGGAAGGACATATTTAACACATGTTACATGTGTATGTGCACAAATAAATTTGTCTGTTTATAGATATTTTAACCTTTTTACCATGTATATATGCTTCTTGATAACACACGTCCAGAAAAATGTAAGAAATTCATCATTAGTTTGGCTAAAAAAGTCTATGCAACTGCCATTCTTTGCTGAAAACCGCAGCTATGCATTCCTTATTTCGTTTTGACAGTGCTCATGCTAAGTCCTTCAAAAGGCAGGTTAGCACTTTTAAGATTTTGATGACATTATTTTAAATTTCTCGTTGCTTTCTATTGTGTCAATAGTTTGACTTAGACAAGAACAAAGGATTTATATGAAAAAGAAAGTATTACGTCCATGCCAAAGTGAGCACGAGTGGTTCAGGGAGCCATTTCTGATAATGTAAGCAGCAACATTATAATATTGTCGCTACGTCAAGACAGAGGTTGTATTTTAAGAAGCTGAGAAAGCAGCAGCGGGTCGGTCTTTTTATTTACCACGTGCCAGAGAATTCCTCGTCTTTCTCGTTGTTGCGTTCTGCCTAAAAGCGTGCAGATGCGCGTATGCACTGTCGCCTTCGTCTTTCTGACATTTGCCTCCCTCCAAAACGTGACATTTGCCTCCCTCCAAAAATGGCATCGTCCTGATGCGCAGCCAAGGCGCTCTACTTATAAAAATGCACATATGTACCGGCACCCACAGGACAAGCAAAAGTTAGCTGGACAAGTAGGGCTTCATGCGGATGACATGCACGATCTCGGGTGAGCGGTTTCGGCGACTGGAACTGCAATCGCCGTCGGGAATAACTTCGTAGTTGATGTCGTTCAATCGTCAAGTGACTCCATATGGGCCGAAGTATTGTCGTCACATCATCAGGTACACGTAAACGTTGCAGTTCTTCAGTGATGGCGTCGACGTAAGGATGGGCGGAAAAGGTGACCATACGTTCTGGAATCTTGATGACAGCACCGTACTCTCACAGAAAATCCACACCCGAAATTAGCTCTTTACAACAGTCCGGTAAAATGACAAAAGTGGCGATGAAGCTCGAATCACCGATTACGAGCCGGGCGGTGCATTTACCGGTTGCCGTCATTAGCTGTCCACCAGCACTCCTTATGCTCGGCCCACTCCACGGCGTCTTGACCTTCTTAAGGCAGTCGGCGAGCTCTTGTCGCATAATAAGAGAAGTCACCACCAGTGTCAACCAGTGCTGTTACGTAATGTCCGTCTATAATAACGCTTAGGTCGGCACGTACTAATTCATCGGCATTAGTACTCGTGGTTGTCGTCATCCCCGTCATCACCGTCGTGATCTTTGTGTAGAGGCAAGGGGGTCTTTTTGGCGTTTTGGCAATTGGCAAATTTGCCACCGGAGGTCGCAGCAGTTAGTTTCCCTGGCACAGGCTTGGGGAGCGGTTTCTGACGACGTCACCATAACTTTGGCGATTCGGGGAATTGTGACCTCATGCAGGTGAGGGAGACCGCCAGGGACGATTTGGTGAAGACGCTTGGTTGGTCGGCAGGAGATTACCAGCACGATCACGAAGGTCCTCAAAATAAAATGAAGGGGGACGAAAAAAGTTTCCAAACCGGGCTTCTCGGTGACGGCAGTAGCGCGAGATGTGGCCTGGTTCGCTGCAGTGGAAACAAAAGGGTCGACGGTCGGCAGTGCGCCACAAGTCGGTCCGCATAGTGGTGGTCGCCGCACAGGTTCTCACTGCCACCAAGGCAAGGTAACAGGCCGTGGCTGAAAGGGTGCTTCTTCTGGGGCAGGCAGAGGACGGCGGACGGCATCAGCATAGGTCAATTGACGTGGTTCAGGTGGTGGGGCCGGTGATGGAAAGGCTTGCCGTAGTTCTTGGCTCACAAATTCCACAACAGAAGCAACTGGAGGCTCGGTAGACGGAAGGCCGAGGGCCTGCAGCTCTTCCCGCAGGATTTGCCTAATCATTTACTTTAGAGAGCTTTCGAAAACGGCAGCGTTATGAGCGGCGGCACCAACAGGCATTTGGTGGGGCAGGCGGTCAAACTAGTGGCATCGTTGCCGGAACGCCCGCTCGATGACAGTCGCCTCTTTGATAAATTCATCCACTGTTGTTGGCGGATTTCATACAAGGCCGGCGAAAAGCGGTTCCTTAACACCCCGCATCATGTGAAGAACTTTCCTCGCCTCGGGCATGTCAGGATCAGCGTGGCGAAATAAACAAGCCATATCCTCAGTGAACATGGCAAAGCTTTCGCTCGCCTTTCGCACGCGACCTTCAATCATCTGTTGTGTGAGATCCCGTCGGTCTGCACTCAGGAACGTCTTGAGAAGCTTTTGGTGGAAATTTTCCTAGGTTTGGAAAGTAGGCTCCTTGTTCTCGTACCACGTGTGAGCGCTATTTTCCATTGCGAAGTAGGCACGGCCAAGTTTCTCTTGCCCGCTCCGGCGATTCACCACGGCAGTCCGCTCAAACTGATCGAGCCAGTCTTCAACATCTTCATACGGTTCTCCACGGAAGACTCCGGGAACACGAGGAGGCTCGAAAGTTATTTGGGAAGGAAAAGTCGTCTGGGCCTGAGGAAGATTTGCAGACGTTCAAGGGGCCACCATGTTGGTAAGAGGAGATGCAGTCAAGAGTTCTGGACTTAGGTCTAGTAGGCACTGGCTGGATCGGTGTACTCGAGACGTAACAAGATGTTGAGGCTCCGGACTGGGTGTACGGTCTCGAACAATGCTTTCCTGTATCAGGTTGCAGGCCCCTCCACCTCCACCAGTGTTGCGACGTTAAGACAGAGGTCGTATTTTAAGAAGCTGAGAAAGCAGCAGCGGGTCAGTCTTTTTATTTACCGCGCGCCAGCGAGTTCCTCCTCTTTCTTGTTGTTGCGTTCTGCATAAAAGCGGGCGCCTTCGTCTTTCTCGCAGGACGCATGTGATAATATAAATGCACTAATAAAAAGCATGCAAGCAGCAATAACTTTCCATAAATTATCCTACCTACAGCAAATGCTAGATGGTCTCGCAGTACTCTTCTTGTTGAGGAGGAAACCGAACTAAAAAACATCAAGGACGACAGACCCTAGACAAGGGCCCCAGTGGCCTTGGCCACACATATACCTTAATCGATTAGTGACTGCTGCCTGGCCAGGTTGAGTGGGACAGTTGAGCCCTTCAAAGTTCTGTGTTTCTTGCTACCAACGTTGTGTTTTCCAGGTGTGGGGGCTCTCCTGCGAACGCTCAGGTAATGCAGTATGGTGTAGTACTTCCTAGGGACCGAATGCCGAAAGCTGTTTCAAGTTTTTGCCAATCGATAACCTCCTCTCCTGCTAGATCTTTGTGGGGCAGAGTATAAATTGTGGTACATTGTGGCTATGGCATTACAATTGTGATATGAGCGTCAGCCAAGATATCAGCCCTCTCATCTGCATTAAAACCCTGGTGTTTCGGGCACTGAAAGATCAAGTGGCAGTTGCAGAGGGGGCCCGTAGCCAGTCAGCCCCACTAGCTGTGTATCTATAGTAATGGAAAAAATGGTTGACAGAAGATTACAGTGGTGGATTGAAGCTAACAACTCACTTACAGAACAGATGGCTGGCTTCAGATGACGGCGATGCACCATGGACTGCGTCTTCAACCTCGTTACATTTGTAAAACATGAGATGAGCTGTGAAAACATGGCTGTTGCGGCGTTCATAGATATTAAGACGGCGTTCGACTCTGTGAGCCACATTTCTGTGCTGCACGGGCTTACCTCACTAGGGGTTCCCGGTCGTATCCTTTAATGGATCGCCAACTTCCTATGTAACAGACAAATATATATTTCAACCAATAACGCAGACAGAGATCACTTCAACATGAGCAGAGGTGTACCCCAAGGAAGCGTTCTAAGTCCGCTTCTTTTCAATGCTGCAATGGCAGGTCTTCCAGAAGTACTGCCTGAAGCCTTGAACATATCCATGTATGCAGACGACATATGCATATGGACGTCTCACAAATCACTGGAAGTGATCGAACATCGGCTTCAACAAGGACTAAACGCAATAAGTAATTACCTCAAAGAGCGAGGCATACAGATTCCTCACGCCAAATCTGTAGTTCTGCCATTCACGAGAAAAAGAGTGAAAAACTTGAAGCTTTTTGTGGATGGCCAGAAAATCGAAATCGCACGAAAGCATCGCTTCCTTGGCGTTACCTCAGATAGCCAACTCAGATGGAGTCAGCATATTGCTGATCTAGAAAATCAAGTGAACAGCACCATAAATGTTATACGACGCATCGCGGGAACAAAATGGGGCAATACTTCAGCGTCTCTCCTCCATGACCATTGTGCACTAATCCGACAGCAAATTGCCTACTCTGCGCCAGTTCTCCACAACATCTCTCAGATATCGCTACACCAACTTCAGCTGTTACAAGCACGAAGCTTACGCATATGTCTTGGGGTTCCACAAGCAACATCAAGTTCTTTGACACTGGCATAGGCAAGAGTACCCAACTTTATACTAATTAGAAATGTGGAGACATGTCGGCACCCTTTTCGTCTAGTCACGCAACACCCTTCCCATCCGCTCATATCCAACATCATGAACCGTGCTGGAGCGCAAATACACCATGTGCACCAACAGTACATTTTCCGGCTTCCTATGTCGACACATTGGCCACTGGACCAAAACTACCCTCCATGGCTGCTTGAGCTACCAACTATTGAAACGTCAATAGAAGGACTTTGCAGCAAACATGAAGTGCCAACC